GTCCCCGTCGATGTAATACGGTTACCTGTGAGGTAAGTCTCCGTAAGACCTAATGAAAGGCCGTGCCTTGTCGTATGGCACGTACCCCCATGAGTTAGGGTAATGAATCCCATTTCCTTGGCTAATGAAAGATTTGTACACGTGGGTATTATGTTTTGATGTGATTAGGAGACGTGACAAAGTAATTGTTTTATGTTCATACTCTAACCATACCTTCTCTTCATTATTATGTTGTGATATATGTGCATAGTGGTGAGCACGCTTTTCATCTTGTGCTCATCCCCACCTGCTCTTTAACGATGCAGGTTAAGTGACAGCCGGGTGACGAGGAAAGGACGAGTTGGTCGGTCTATTTATTTATGCATTATTATGGCTTCCGTTGAACTTGAATAAATTTGTTGCACGTTATGTTTTGTGCAAACTATTTTAAAACCTGGTGTGTGGATTTTTAATCTTATGAACCCTTGTAGTTTTGAGATTGATGTTTGACTATTTATTTATGAGTTTGTGTTGGTTGATGAAAACCGATTGTGAAAAACGGGTAATGAATCCCCGTAGGCCCAGATAAGACTTGGGTTATGAGAATGTTAGTTAACACCCACTAAATTTTCGAAAATGAGTTTGAAAATTTTATACTGTTTTTTTTTTTTTGAAAAATCCAGAATTTCTATAAAATCAAAGTGGGGTGTTACAGTTGGTATCAGAGCCAGTCTGCGTTTCTGTAGACTGGCACATATGTGATTATGTGTTTAGACCTTGTGTTATGACCACTCGTCTCCGTCACTCCGCGCTGCTTAAGGTATGTTTTGATTTAAGTACTTGCGATATAATTGATGCACATGTAGTAATGAAACTACTCGTGATGAACTTGTGAGTTACTTGTTACCTATGGGGCTTAGGATCTATCCACCTTGATTTAATCGAACTCTAGTGTTTGTGGCGAACTCTAGACTTCTGACATATTATTGTTTGTTTTCTGTGCTTACCTTGCTCGGCTTATTCAATGTAGAAGTATGAATACTCGCCACCGTAACCGTCAGCCATCCCCATCTCCTTCTCCCCCTCGTCGTCAGCACCAGGCCCCTCCGGCCATGGACCTCACTCAGCTGATTGTTCAGTTTCAGCGCATGAATGCGCCAACTTTCTCGGGGACAGAGAACCCCACAGCTGTGCTTGAGTGGATGAAGGAGCTGGACTAAATCTTTGTTGTGCTTTCCCTTCCCGACCGTCAGCGCGTGTCCCTCGTGGCATACCAGATGAAGGAAGATGCCTCAGACTGGTGGATTGAGTTTTGGGCTCGGAAGCCCGAGGCGGAGCTTCATGCTCTCACTTGGGAGCAAATGAAGACGATGGTGCGCAACAAGTTCCTTCCTCAGAGCTTTTGGGACAGAATGGAGCACGAATTCTACCACTTGCAGCAGGGCAGCTCCTCGGTGGATGAGTACATCCGCACTTTCACCCGTATGTGCCTTTTTGCGGGTGATGCGGTGAACACCGATGCTAAGAAGGCCCGAAAATTTCTCAAGGGTCTCAACCAGAGGATCCGTGAATTGGTGGGAAGTCATGGACCGATGTCATATGCTGATACCGTGAGTCGAGCCCAGTAGGTGGAGAGCTGTCTCATTCCGGTTGTTCCCATTCCATCCTATCCTCCCGCCTCTCAGCCTCCTCAGGCTATCCAGTATGCTCAGCCCATCTCGGCCGTGCCACCCGGCTCTAGCTCGGGTAAGAGGAAGTCCGACTTCAAGAACAAGGGCAAGAGAAAGAAAGTGAGCTTTGATAGGCGTGACAACCAACCCTCCAACGGCCAAGCCTGTCCGAAATGCGGTAGATCCCATAGCGGTGAGTGCCTAGCTAGCCAGCGCACCTGTTTCAACTGCAACCGCCCGGGACACTATGCTAATGTTTGCCGCGAGCCTAAGAGACAGCAGCAGCAGCCGCCCTATCCTCAGCAGCAGCAGCTTCCCCCACCACCACCACATCAGCAGCATCAGCAGCAGCAGCAGCCCCCACCGTTCCAGCAGAGGACTGGAGGCCAGGCCCGTGTTTATACCCTCACCTATGATGAGGCCGCTCGTAATTCAGGTACCATGTCCGGAATGCTTTCGATATCCCATGTGCCTGTTTTTGCTTTGTGTGATACCGGTGCTACCCATTCGTTTATCTCATATCGTTGTTTGGAGGCCTTATCTGTTAGCACCGTGCATGCTTGTGATCCTCTTGAGGTTAGCTTAGCCTCGGGAAAAGTTATTGTTTCTCATTCAGTAGTTTGCAATCTTCCTATCTGTGTTGGTGGTCGAGTTCTGGAGGCCGATGTGTATGTTATTG